AGAATAAATTTGTACTTGAGATTTTGAGTAAAATAAAAAGAGAGTATGTTATACTATTACGTAAAAAAACATCAGCAATAATACTCAAATCTAGTATAAATGAAGTAGCAAAAAGAAAGAATGCAAACAACCTCTTTCATAAGATGATATACTCAGATAGTGACTAATAATAACATCTCAGAGGTCTAAATATACTAGAGAGACTAATAATAACATCTTAGAGGTCTAAATATACTAGAGAGGACTTAAAGAGGTATAAATATACTAGAGATGACTTAAAGAGAGTATGTACAAAACAAATTGGGCAAAAAGTATCCCTTGTACAAAAAATTTGGACAATAAGATAGAATGAAAACTAGAAATGTGTATATAAGTTAAAGACGAAACTTCAAAAAGGTCCCTATGGTATCCGAAAATCTGAAGTTTAGTACCTAAGCTAAAAAAAACCTCACAAATGGTCCCTGTGGTATCCGAAAACTAGAAATTTGTATATAAGTTAAAGACAAAACTTCAAAAAGGTCCCTATGGTATCCGAAAATCTGAAGTTTAGTACGTAAGCTAAAAAAAACCTCACAAATGGTCCCTGTGGTTTCAAAAAATTTTATGTTTCGTCCTTATGCCTTACTCCGTCAGTTTCCTACCATTAAGTGAAGGGCATTTTCATCATTTTCACTACCACATGGACTATTTATGATGTTTTCTTTTATTTTTATAAAAAGGAAAAAAAAATATAATATAATTACTTTCTCTCTCTATGTGTGTGCGTGATAGTGGTGCGCTAGCACTAGATCATCTTCATTCTTCACCTTCATAAACCAGTAAACCATGCTACCAATGAACAACCATCATGCACCAATCAACCACCTAAATTTCTAATCTTTTTCCTCTCTAAAGCTCTGTATATATGTTCCTGCTACAGATTTGACATAAATTGCAGCCATAATATGCTTAAATATTCTTTGGCAATGATGAAGGTTGAAGATAAAGGCAATGGATCCGGGCTGATGATTGAGATTGTGACGATGATAGACTCCAAATCTCCCCTCTGGTTAAACCTTCTCTTTCCAGGGACTCCCCTAATCGCCAATGACTTCCATCTAATTCACCATCGTTTGGACCATCGTCTTCACTAGATCGGTATGCCAAGCGAGACTGCTAGATAGATTGGGACGTTTTGAGGCAAATGAGAGATTAGTGGGTTCCTGTAATGGTACTCAATTTATCAAAAATTGATTTATCAGCTAGTGACTAACAGGTATTTTGATAATTTGAACTTCGCTCATGTTTCAATGGTTCCATGAATCCTATCAATTGAAATTTGTGAACACATGTATTTTGAAAAAAAAAAAAAAAAAAAAAAACGATATAAAGATGCAGAGTAGAAAGAGGCGGAGAATAGTTGGACTTGCAAACTTATTTCAGAGTATGAACATATCACCGGAAATCGCACACAGTAACCCACACAAACTCATAACATCTGATACAAGGAACAATAATGATGAATTGTTGGTTGGAGGCTCATGTTTAGCGGACCAAAGTCAAGATCTCATAACCAGTGGTGAAAATACAGGTGGATCATGAGAGACGCCATGGCAGCCTTGTACAATATCATTGAAGCTTTGTTCTTCATGTAAATCAACTTTTAACAGTCTTAATCGATCACCACCTTACCATAACCTCAAGAAATGGCCATAATTCGCTGAAACTTCCAAAAATTCAAGATTATTAACCTATAACAACATTCGATTTTGGAGGAAAGGGGAATACGAACCAGGATTCCTGACAGTGGCGATCCAAGATTTGAAATGCAAAAGCAAAAACCCTTAAGTTAGGATCGTTTGGGTTTTTACATCGATAATGAGGAAGCTACACACACACACACAGAGAGAGAGACCATTTTTATTAAACAATTATGTTTTATTTTACATTTTTTTTAAATAAGAGAAAACATTTTAAATGTTCCCTGGGTAGTGAAATGACGAAAATGTTCTTCATTTAACAGTAGGAAGTTGACGGAGTAAAACATAAGAACCAAACATCAAAAGTTTTGAAAAAACATGGACCATTTATAAGATTTTTTAAATTTAAGAACCAAACTTTATATTTTTCAAATACCATAGGATTATTTATGGAGTTTTGTCTGAGTTAAATGTCTAAAAAAAAGGACCAAATAGTAAAAAGAAAGATGCAATTAATGAATTATGTACTACAAATAAAAGATTCACTCCCCTTGGGTTACAATACGAGAGTGATTTTAAAGCCCATCTTGCCATGTCACACGTGTCGAGACCATGCATTAGGGACCATCCAGATTCCGTGCTGTACGCCACCTCAATTATAGTCTCTCCATAAATATTCGCCTTTCTCTAAATCAATACTTCACACCAAAGCAAAGCTTGCTCCTTCCTAGCCTACATATACTAACCTACATAGTAGGCGCATCTTAGCACCCACCATCCCCACCCAAGCCTTTCTTGCTCGATTTTTTTGCAATGAAGTCTGCTTCGCTATCTTACTCCGGGTGTGAAGATTCCCATTTTCTTGAAGCTTGTACTCTTTGTTCGAAGCCGTTGGGCCAAAACAGTGATATCTTTATGTACAGGTATGTATGTTCATTTCGACGACTTTTTCTTTTTCTATTTGTTCTTCGGTAGATTGTACGTTGTGCATTACTAATTGTACCATGACAAAACTGCTTCTGATTTTAGTGCCTGTTTAAAAATGCCGACTTTTCAATGGTTCTTGAGTTTTTTTTTGGGAAAAGCCAAACATTAGCTGATGCATTAGTTATTTTGTAGCATTTGATTACGATAGCTCCTTAATTAATTGTTAGATTCGTAATGGATATTTGTTAATTATAAAATAATAATACTGGGTTAATCATGTGGTACGTACAGAGGGAACACTCCATTTTGTAGTCAAGAATGCAGACAAGAACAGATGGGAATTGATGAAGGAAGAGAAAAGAGATGTAGAAGAAGAGTCTCCAAGAAACCATCTTCTGAAATCAAGAAATCTACAGAAACTCTTGTTGTGGCTTAATAATAATCTTAAAATAGGATATGGGAAAGTGTTTTTTTTTTTTTTTTTGTGTCGTACAGAAATTATTGTGGGGTGTATTTGTGAAATGTCATGTTCTTTGTTTTATGTTTTGGGAGAGGCTTTGGAAATAAAAAAAATACTTTTCGTTAAGAGGCCTTCTTAAATTATGTGGTAGTAACATGAATTATTTTCATAAAGTATTCCTATTGGTTTATAGGGTGTCAATAGTCAAATTTTGACTTTAATGCACACGACGCATTAACCCATAGAAATGTCACAATCCTCAAAATTGAACATCACCTGATAATTTCCTGAGAGCTACTCGGGTGATTGTGGTACTCCCCCCCTGAAAAGTTAGAAGTTTAACATCAAGGACAAATTACATACACCATTTTTTATAGACTCAGTTTACAATAAAGAGCCCAAATCTCCCAACACAACTGTCATTAATCAGAATCATTAATAAAACAAACAAATGATTAAAATGGAGTTATGAAAACAAATAAGTAGTTTCATTAGCAGAAAATGAACAAAATTAGATAAACAAAGTACCAAATCTACTGTCAAACCTACTGTAGATATTCGCACAACTTAAACGAAAACTGTCTGAATAAAGGGAATTGTTTGCTAAAACGTTATACACAAACTTTTTGAATTTGGACCTATCAAATTTCATTCCTCTGGAATAATCTATGTCGATAGATGGAATTAAAGTCCACAGATACCTCCATCGTGTCGACAAAATGCTGGTTCGAATTACTTCTTCGGTAGTTGGAAGACTTGAAAGAATCAAAGTGAAGGATGGGATCTGGTAAGTCACTGATCATATCAACACCATCTTCATGCTCTGATGCATTTGATTGCGTGGTCAGTTCCATGCCTCTTTTACTGAAAACTCATTTCGAAAAACAAACAAATTGTTAAAGCTTACACAGACATTTTATCAAACAGTTTGTGAACAACAAGAAGCTAAAGGCTTCTACATACAGTGAAAGAGTGTGCGTTTGTCATACAACATGTTTTTATGTTGCTTAACATCTATTTATCCAATCAATGAAACATAATAATACTTGTGTGTTTCATTTTCCTTGCAGTTCTAAAATTAGGGTTTCGCCGTCTTGCTGTATCTCACTTGTATTTAAAAAAAGTATATAACACACGAATAGAAACCGGAAGACAATCAGTTAATCCAAAATTCAGATCAGATGTAAAATCAATAAAAATCACATGATCCAGATATTCATTTTACCTGATTGAAATTGGGCAGTGGCTATTTTTGTGTATTTCAAGTTTTAAGAACAAAGTTCGCTGATTTCTTCCCATTGGACTTCTGGACGACATTCGTTGCTTCTGTAGGGACCTATTTGATATCCGAATGTATTTTGTTTCCCGCCTCTTTTTTTTTTTTTAATTATTAATATTAATAGCGCGTTCCTTCTTGATTTGCGTTTCGTTTTTTGTGAGTTTCAAACATATCAAATGTAAATTTAGTTAGGGGTGTTTGGATTGCTTATTTATTTATTAAGCAACCGAATTTAGTTAGGGGTGTTTGGATTGCTTATTTATTTATCAAGCAACCGGTTATAATCCACTTTTCCATTAAAAAAATATTATATCTCTTATACAAATATACAACCAAACAAATTTAAATTTTACCATTTAGCAGCATCTTAACATAACCAAAAATATATTTTTATATGAGAATTCAGAGATATTTGATAAATATATCGATATTAATTTGATCTCCAATAACTTTTTTTGCAAGATTAAAGTTAGCCTCAAATATGTTGCTATTCAGTATTGACCAGAATGTGCATTTAGCCTCAAACTTTTATACATCTCCCGACACAGTTGACCTTAATCAGAATCGTGACAACATCATAATAAAACAAACAAATGATTAAAATAGAGTTACGAAAACAAATAAGTAGTTTCATTAGCAGAAAATGAACAAAACTAGATAACCGAAGCACCAATCTAATACTTTCTACTTAATAAGTGAACATGAAGCAAAATAAAGTTGGGTGATGCAAAATTACAAATACAAAAGGCATCCAAGAAATCTAGTCATTCCATGACATATGAATAGGTAGGTACTATTTATGGTTTACCAGAAAACCGATAATAACTAATCTCATTAAGAGTAATGAGTTTGACATCTGAGGAAGCTTTGTGAAATTTTGACACCTCCTCCATTGTCTCCAATGACTTCTTATGGAACTTGGCTTCATCACAATCCCATCTAAAAATCATTTCCTCCAATGCATTTCCATGCTCAAGTAAACAACGTGCTAAATCTAGTATTAGCTTTTGTTTATAATAAATAAGAAACTCGACTCTTTTCAGATGGCGGGTCAAGATTCCCCTCGTTTCGGCTTCATCCAACTTCCAGTCTTCCCACCAAATATATTTCTAGATCATCAGAGTAAAAAAAAAAAAAAAAAAAAGTTTTCATGCTTAGGTGCAAAGATCCTAACTAAAGTGAGCTATGTGCTTCAAGATGCAGATGCATAAAAATACTATCTGCAATTTATATGAGAATACCTCTTCAATGATCAAATGGAGAGACTCCAAATGGGGAAGACGTGTGAGAAATCTGATGAATTTACTGATGACGGGAGTATCACTTCCTATGGTTAGCTCCAATGTCTTGAGATGAGGTAAAGATACAGGAACACCTGAATATTTAATCACATATTTTTAATTATATTTTTTTTGGCAAAAGTGCACAACTATAAAGGAATTGTTGGATAGAGCCTTTTCTGTAGAGGTGATGAATGCAATGGGGGTCTAGAATTTTCAACAAAGGCATGAACTATGACAAAACAGATATACTTTGGAAGATGCCAAAAAAAAAAATATGATAATTACACTGCATATACTTTTTCAACTAAAATTAAGATTTATATATGGAGATCGAGACTAAGCAACTACCTGATGGACATAGAGAGTAACAGAGGATGTAGATACTGGTGGACAAAGATTCTAAAGAACAATTTCCCTGAAACATGCAGTCCATACATTCAGATGGAAACTCTTCAGGATGAATCACAGCTTTCTTCACTAAACCCAGACTTCTAAAGATATACTTAAGAGCTAAAAAAGCTCTAAACTCAAAAAACAACAGTTTTGGGCAAACAATCTTTATGCAATCACAGAGAAAGTCAACATCATACAAGCCTTCAAAAGAGAAGAAATTCCTGTTATCGAGTCTGAGATTCTTGAGCTTCGGACATGATATATAAAGAATCTGGAGTTTGTTTATCGCACAGTCTATGAAACTCAGATCCTCAAGCAATGGCAAGCTTTCAAGGAAATTTTTTACTAAATAATCTTTGTATAACTCAACATTTTTCAACTCGAGAACCCTAAGTGCCTGAAACCCTGTAAACTTAGGCAAAATCAAACGCCTTTGTTCATACAAAAACACCCGCAATACCTGTAACGAATCACAGGTCACCAGACAATAGGGCAACTTGATGTGTTTAAACAAATCTTCAGAGCAAAACGACAAGTGAAGTTGTTTGATGTTTCTCGAAACGGCGGCTTGAATCCACTGATATACAGTAGATATACTGTAGAGATCCGAACAACTTATACGAAGACTGTCTAAATCAAGGGAACTGTTTGCTAAAACGCGATACACAAACTTTTTGAATTTGGTCCTATCAAATTTCATTCCTCTGGAAGAATCTATGTCTATAGATGGAATTAAATTCCACAGATACCTCCATCGTGTCGACAATATGCTGGTTCGAATTACTTCTTCAGTAGTTGGAAGACTTGAAACAATCAAGTGAAGAATGGGATCTGGTAAGTTACTGATCATATCAACACCATCTTCATGCTCTGGTGCCTTTGCTTGCTTGTACTTCTTCATGCCTCTTTGACTGAAAACTCATTCAGAATAACAAACAAATCATTAAAGCCTATACACTGAATTATCCAAACAACAAAATAACACTTGTGTGTTTTATTTTCCTTAGCAGTTCTTAAATTAGGGTTTCCATTCTGACCGCCTTGGCTGTATGATATCGCACTTGTGGTTGAAATTGGTATTTAACAAACAATAACACGAATAAGAATTCCATAGGATCACAAATAAATGATATAATCAATTAATCCAATTTTGAGATGTTAAATCAATAAAAATCACATAATCAAGATATTTATTTTACCTAATTGCAGCTGAAGTGATTCTTTTTGGTGTTATCAATTTTTAAGATCAAAATGCGCTGATTTCTGTTCGTTGGACCTCTGGATAATATGATTTCCCTAGAGCGTTCCTTCTTGATTGCGTTTTATTTGGGTAAATAAGTTATGAGGGTTTCAAAAACACCATCTAACGTTGTTATACAAAAAACACAACACACTATACAATTTTATTTAAGTTAATCGGGCTCTTTCAGATGAGCATATGAGTTAACATATTTTTGCTGAGTTGGCATATTTTTGTGGAGTTACCATATTTAGGTGGTGAGTTCGCAAATCTGCTCAACAAATGAAAAATCCGCCTTAATAAATAGATTTAGGGCACAATTGGTGCATACGGCTCCTGTTGATCGAATTCTTCAACTTTCTTAGGCTTCTCCCTGTAAATCGTTGAACTCCAGCTCAAGCTCACTCATTTCCAACACAAAGAGCTCAACACAACAATTGATCATGCAAATCATTGTTGTTGTGGGTAGCCTTCTCGAATATGGGCGTGATGATGCCTTCTATTGCTCTAGCAAGGTTCTGTGCTGGACAATTTTTCCCCTAATTGTGCATTGCTATTATTGACTTCCCTTACGTCAACAATAGTGGAGTCCATGGCATGTGGGCTTCCAACATTTGCCAACTGCCATGGTGGTCCGACTGAGATTATTGAATGTGTCGTGTCGGGTTTCCATATTGATCTGTATCATCCAGATAGTGTAGCAGTCACCATGGTTAATTTCTTTCAAAAATGCAAGGAGGACCCGAATTATTGGGTGAAGATATCTGAAGGTGGACTTAAAAGAATACATGAAAGGTAATATATATCTAATATAAAAAACTGATGCTTCTTCAAAACAGTTGACTAGTAGTAACACTTGACTTTAGAATTTTGTTAGGATATATTGCAGTGAAAGGGACTCTTAATGTCCCTAAATTAGCATCTAAAGTTCCATCTATCAAAAAAGAATCTTCAGCAAAAAAAAGCTACCAGAAGTTGCATTAGATTCACTGTTATAGCATTGTAAAATGGTCGTCATGGGCAATTTGGTCAACAGAATCAAAAGTACTTTGGTATTTCTTGCTAACTCTAAGAAAAAAGAATCAAAAAAAGATGGAATATATCAGCAAAAAAAAAACCTTGAGGTCTGTTGCTATTTTACCCTTAAGTTACCAGATCCAATGAAAATTGAATTTTCATTTATTTAGCATCGTTAGCTTCTGTGATGAATTGCTATTTTACTGATTGACAAATTTACTGAATTGCTACAAAGTACATTTTTATAACAAGTGCTTCTATAAAATGTGCATCAGAATTTTTACTGAATGAAAAAATTACTGAATTGCTACAACGTACATTGCTATAACATGTCTTTCAATAAACATAATTTTTATAACAGGGGCAATTTGGTCATGTGCTGCTATTTACATGGGCAATTTGGTCAGATTACAGCAGAACCCACAAACATGCTAAAAACATATAAATTCAACAAACAAATTAAATGGGCATAAAATCGATTTGAGCAGAGGAGGAATGATTGGTCGACTGGATGTAAAAATCGATTTGAGCAAAGGAGGGTTGATCGATCGAACCCTAGGGAGCTTATGTGCGCTTCTGTGCTTCACTCGCAATGTTAAGTCCTTCCCCTCACTCCACGTAAGAATGCCATGTCACTTTTTATTTTCCCTTAATTATTTTTTACAGGCAATATATTTTTTGGTCACATACATACATATGCCAGTTACTTGTTACTAGTAGGTGTGATTTGAACAAAACTTATAGTTTGTTGGTGTTTTTTGTACAAAGACCTTACTTGGATGATGTTTTTTGAACATACCAAACTTAAATGCTGGTTTTTAAATGATTTTGAAACATACTTTTACCATGATAAGTCATTTTCCCATTTGAGTTTAGTTTCAAAGCTGTCAGGTCGAGCAAAGTGGTTGTTTTTTGAACTCCAAAATGTTTTTAGGAAAAGTGTTTATTGACTTATAGTGATGGTAAATAAAGTTTTTAAAAAAGTGTTTGGATTAACTTTTATGGTGACAAAAGTCAATAAATATGATTTCTAAAAGTACATACAGATTTCGAAAGCAAAGCATGATAATTTTCTGAGAACTACGTGGGTGATTATGGTCTCTCCCTGAAACAGTTGAAGTTTATCATCAAGGACAAATTACATACACCATTTTGTAGACTTGGTTTACAATAAAGAACCAAAATCATCAATTACACAATAAACATTAAACAGTAAACGGGTACAAGTTAGAAAAACTTGATAGATGATTGGCCAATAAAGGATTATTACAAAATCCCAACATAGATTATTGCAAAATTCTAAACCATAACAGGATGTAAGTGACATGCTTAAGAATTCACTCACGTCCACCAAATTTGAAATAGGTTTTAAAGTCCTCGAGAAATTCAATAATAAAAGATAGCATCCACCCCTTTTTCTTTATTTTATGCTATTATCAATAAAATCATTACTAAACATCGCATACTTTTAAATCAGTGCTATCCCAAAACATAAATGCCATCAACATAGGAAAATTATCATTTTTCGTATTTATCACGACATGATATCAATTAAACTACAATAATAATTTTCTTATCAAATTGTAGATGTTTAAGAAATGGAAGTAGCAAGGATACAATATTCCCGCAAAAGTAAACAGCTTCATAGGTAGAACACTATATGTTTTATTTACCACACAGATGGATTTTGATATGTATTGATTCATCAGTTTAACAATTACAATTAGCAAAGTTCACAGATTTATTTCAAAATCAACTAGAAAGTTGTTGAAACAGATTATTTATCTATCTTGCTTGGATGCGAAAGATTTTAACATAATTATTAACCGGAGACCTAACATTACTAGTCAATGTGAATTACAATCTTGTATACACATGATTAAAGATTGTATTTTGAGGCAACTTAAATGAAGAGATGAGAAGGAAAAGAAAAAAGACAACATAAACATGTGATACCTAGTTATACCAAATGATGATGTTAGACATTACCATTCACAACAAAGTGTCAAAATATTGTGGACACCTAGTTCTACATACCATAACTCCATAACCATATCTGTAAATATTTATCGAGGTCAAGTAGTTGGATTGAGTAATGGGTCAGATTCATAATTTTTTTCACAAGATTAAAATCAGCCTCAAACATGTAGCTATTGACTAGTATGTGCATTTAACCCAAATTTTAATACATCTCCCAACACAATTGTCCTTAAAATGAAGCAACATGAAGTCATGTGGTACAAACATACAAATCACATGAGATCAAGAAATCTATTTACCTTGTAACATGAATAGGTAGGTACTACTTACGGTTTACCAGAAAGCTGATAATAACTGATCTCATTAAGAAAACCCAGTTTGACAGTTGAGGAAGCTTTGTGAAACTTTGAGACTTGATTCATAGTCTCCACTGACCTCTCATGGAACTCGGCTTCATCACAATCCCATCTAAAAACCATTTCCTCCAATGCAATTCCATGCTCTAGTAAACAACGCACTAAATCAAGTATTAGCTTTTCCTTATAGAAATTAAGAAACTCGACTCTTTTCAGATGACGTGTCAAGATTCCTCTTCTTTCAGCTTCATCCAACTTCCAGTCTTCCCAGAGAAAAACATTTCTAGATCATCATAGAAAAGAAGATTAAGTTTTCATGTTGAGGTGAATTCTTGGAAATTGTATTTAGTGGGCTCAATTGCTTTTTCATATTACTAGGATAATGCAAATGTCCCAAGTTGGAATCCTTTTCACTCCAAAAATAATAATAATAATAATAAATTTGCTTAAAACTTGTGTCTAGGGTTGATGAAATTTTGTCTAAAGTCTATCTGAGATTTGTGTATCTCCTATTAAATGCCTACGTGGCAAAATGGGTCAGATGATGAGACACATAATATAATGGGTTCAAAAATATAAATTTGATTGAAACGTGTCTTGTAAGAATAGGTCAACCTGGAAAAAAACTTCTTTGTCTAATTTTCTTATAACTGTAAAAACAATTAATACAGTTCAATATATTACAAATAAATAAAAAGATTTACAAGGTTGTAAGCCTTTAAGCACCTTAGGACACCAGATTATTTTATTTTACTGATTTGATAAGCTATAAGCAGATATTATATGAGAATAGTCAGAATACCTCTTCAATGATCAAATTGAGAGACTCCAATTGAGGAAGACGTGTGAGGAATCTGATGAGTTTACTGATTATGGGGATATCATGAATTCCTGTGGTTAGCTCCAATGTTTTGAGATTAGGTACAACTGCATGTTTTATCACAACTCAAGGATAATTAATATGTTATCACAATTTACAATGCATACACATTTTTAACTAAAATGAAGATTTATAAATAAAGAGAATAAGCAACTACCTGAGGGATATAATGAGAAACAGAAGATGTCAATACTGGTGGACAAAGATTCTAAAAGACCATTTCCCCGAAACTTGCGCTCCATATATTCATATGGAAAGTCTTCAGGATGAATCACAGCTTTCTTCAATGAAACCAGACTTTTGAAGATATACTTATAAGCTTTAAAAGCTCCAAACTCAAAAAACACCAATTTTGGGCAAACAATCTCTATGCAACCACAGATACTCTCAATATTATACAACTCTGAGATATTCCGGTTATCAAGTCTGAGATTCTTCAGATTCGGACATGAAATACAAAGAAACATGAGTTTCTTCATCATGCAGTCTATCAAACTCAATTCCTCAAGCAATGGCAACCCTTTGAGAAAATCATATACGTACACAGAGTCGTATGCTAACACAAAATTGTTCAACTCAAGAACCCTAAGTCCTGAAAACCCTGTCAACTTGAAAAAATTTAAACGCCGTTTGTACAAATACAACCTGAATACCTCTAATGAACCACAAGTCATAAGACAATCGGGCAAATGTATACTTTTAAGCCAATGCCCACAGCAAAACAACAAGTGAAGTTGTTTAATGTTTCTCTTAACAACAGCATGAATCCACTTTTGTACAATCTGCATACTGTAATGGTCCGAACAACATAAACGAACACTCTCCAAATCAAGGGAACCCTTTGCTAAAACCCCATCAACAAACTTTTTGAATTTGTTCCTTGAAAATTCCGATCATCTAGAACAATCTATGTCAATGGAGGGAATTGAAGTCCACACATACTTCCATCGTGTTGACAGAATGCTGGTTCGAAATACTTCTTCGGTAGTTGGAAGACCTGAAAGAATCAGCTGAAGAACAGGGTCTGGTAAGCTACTGATCTTATCAACACCATCTTCATGCTCTGATGCATTTACTTTCTTGGACAGCTCCATGCCTCTTTTACTGAAATTTCATTCAGAAATCAGAATAACAAACAAAATGTTAAGGCATACACAGACATTTTATCAAACAGTTTGCGAACAACAAGAAGGTACGGCTTCTACATACAGTGAAAGAGTGCGTTTTGGCAGAATACCAATTTCAATATGCAATTACAGTTACAATTGTAACAGAAGATGTTATTATGTTTCTTGAACATCTAATTATCCAAACAATGAAATAAAATAACACTTTGTGTGTTTCATTTTCCTTGCAGTTCTAAAATTAGGGTGCCCACTCTGGCGATCTTGGCTGTATCGCACTGGTGGTTGAAATTGATAATTAACAAACAAGAACACGAATAGAAATCAATAGGATCACGAATAAATGATATCATAATAACTTTAAAACCCGAGATAATCGATTAATCCAAATATGAGATGTCAGATCAATAAAAATCACTTAATCGAGACATTCATTTTACCTGATTGCAACTGAGAAGTGATTATGTTTGGTGTATTTCAAGTTTTAGAACAAAATTCACTGATTTCTGTCCATTGGACCTCTGGACGACCTTCGTTGCTTCCGTAGGGATCTATTTGAATGAAACTGGGAAGTAGTTGAAGTAGTTATTTTGTTTCCCGCCTTCATTTCGATTTTGATAGCGCGTTCTTGATTACCTCTATTTTTTATTTTATTTTATTTTTTTTGAGTTTTAAACCTGTTACCTGTCAATTGAATTAAAACGAAAATTATATAAAATAAAATAGCCAAATGACCTTTGTGCAAGTGGTATCACTTGGATCGAAAGAGGTTCGTAACAGACAAATGTGTAAATTAAGTAATAGGGTTAACGGGTGTAAGTCCTTTAAAAAATTGCAAAACATACATTACTATTATTATTATTTTATAATTATAATATTTATTTGTTTTTATAAATAAAACTTTGTGATCCAAGTAATATTAGTGTTTATTAAGAAATGTTTTTAGATTGTTATAATATTTATTACATTTGATACTTCTATATATAAATATAAGTATTCTATATATAAATATAAGTATTATGTGGCTTTCTAATTTTAAAACTTGAAAAAAAAAATCATAAATTGATATATGTATGTTATTTATTTAAAAAATATCACAAAATGATAAGTATCAAAACTCATTAGAGATTGACATGTGGCAAAATTATCTCTATTTATTATAGTAGACTATATGTAAAACTCGTGTATTAAAATGTAAATAATAAGTATTTTTCAAAATAAAATATTAAAATAAGGAATGAAGAAACATATTGTAATTTAATATAATATTTATTACATTTGATAATTTATATATGTAAATATAAGTATTTTGTGACTTTTTAATTTTAAAAATAAAATAAATAAACAAATAAATTGACATATGTATGTTATTATTAAAAAAATATTACAAAATAATAAGTGTTAAAAATTATTGAATATTGACATTTCGTTTGTTATAGGAAATTTTCTTAAATTTTGGTTAATTTCTAGAGTAAATTACTGAAATCGTTCCTGTGGTTTGGTCAAAATTGCACGTTTGATCCCTAATTTTTTTTTGCACTCGGATCGTCCTTGTTGTTTTATTTTGTTGCGTACATAAAGTTAGGGACCAAACATGCAATTTTTATCAAACCATAAGGATGAAAAACACAACAAAATCAAACCACAGGGACGATCCGAGTGCAAAAAAAAGTTAGGGACCAAACGTTCAATTTTGACCAAACCACAGGGACGGTTTCGGTAATTTACTCTAATTTCTATTAAAAAAAACAAATAACTATGATCATTTTTCTCGTACATTAATTGCCAAAAAAAAATGTTAGAGAAAACAATGAAAGGTGGCTTCTTTTTCTTCAAAACTTAATCATGGCGCCTCCATTCTTCCACCATCAATTCAACGCAAAATCCGCTCTGCTTTCGATTTCCTTCTTCTATGAATCTCTCGAAAATCTGTCTACAATTTATCAAAATCTTCTTTGACGACCCAGAAATTTTCAAGGGATTCTTCAGGAATTCGCAACAAGCATGAGCAAATTCATTGGCAAAAACCCAATCTGTGTATGTGTAGTGTGTTAATTCACGGATGTAATGCATCAAAAAATATCTGAAATTCAGATCGGAAAAGAAAGCAGCGGTGTCTCTTCCGATTTCAATCCCATTCCAGCATTCTCTTCTCCAATTTCCAACCATTCACCTCCATCACCATCTTCACCGTCTTCTTTATTAGTAGTCTTGCCATCACCCAATGATAACAATAATAATTTCAACAATTTCACGACAACGGTGACAAATGGAAACCCTAATCATCAACACGAAATCGTAATCAATGATGTTGATATCGATCTTACTCCAATTTCATCACCAGCTCCTAAATCAACACCACACAAACGGCCAATTTTCCCCCAAACCACTACCAATTTATCTTCGGATTCACCCTTTTCACCGGAAAAACATTACTCTAAGCGCGCTGTTGCGCTTCACCTCCTCGATCGTCTCCGCCACCTCCGCCGTCTTCAATCTCACATACGATTAATCCTTCTGTTATCTCTCCCGTTCTTCTACTTCTTAGTTTCTCACCCAAGCCAATCTTACGTGCTCGATTTCCTATCCGCTTTTGCATTCTCGGCTGCACTGTTATTCTCCCTCAATCTCGGCCTCCCTCAGCTCCCTTCCCTCCGAACACTACTCGCTAGATCCTTCCCAATTAAGCTATATTCCTCCACCCATTCTGCCAGAGCTCCATTGCCGGTGTTCTGGTCAATCGGATCAAAGCCAAAAGGGAACAAAAAAAGAGTGAATTCCGGGTGTTGGGTGCAAGCATACAGTAATGGCGATGTCTACGAAGGTGAGTTTCATAAGGGTAAGTGTTCTGGTTGTGGTGTTTATTATTATTACATGAGTGGGAGATATGAAGGCGATTGGGTTGACGGAATGTACGATGGTTATGGAGTCGAAACGTGGGTGAAGGGAAGCCGATACAGAGGCCAGTATAGACAAGGGTTAAGACACGGCCTCGGTGTATACAAGTTTTATACCGGAGATGTTTATTCCGGTGAATGGTCTAATGGTCGCAGCCATGGATGTGGTGTTCATTGCTGTGAAGATGGTGGTCGGTATGCAGGCGCGTTCAAATGGGGCGTTAAACATGGTCTTGGTTATTACCATTTCAGGTAACATCATCAATCACTTGGACCACCATACTTTTATATGCATTTGATTGTTCTTGTATGGGAATTTCAAGTTTCAAGTGGTCGTTTCCGTTTGTAGGAATCGGGATACATATGCTGGAGAGTATTTCGCTGACAAAATGCATGGATTTGGAGTGTATAATTTTGCAAATGGACATAGATACGAAGGATCATGGCATGAAGGAAGAAGGCAAGGATTCGGAGTGTACACTTTCAGAAATGGTGAAACGCAATCTGGGCACTGGCAAAATGGCGTTCTTGATGTTCCAAGCTCAAAGAATATAGTATGTCCTGTATCAACTGTCACTGAATATCGTTCAAAAGTTGTTAATGCTGTTCAGGTAATCTACAAAATCACACCCATCACCAATGGATTTATAGCGTGTGTTATCCTTATTGTTATCTACTTTATCAGGAAGCACGAAGGGCAGCAGAGAAAGCATATGAATATGATGCATCAGAAAAAATGGACCAAAAAGTGAACAATGTGGTGACATCCGCCAATCGGGCGGCTAATGCCGCTAGAGTAGCCGCCATAAAAGCGGTACAAAAACAAATGCACAAAAGCCGGAACAGTGACTGTGACAGTGACAAGCTTCCTATCCCTATCCCTGTTGTGCAAAACCTTCATCATCTACCCACGCAATTCACCATTTGAGTTTGACCCTGATTTTTTTACATCTTATATTTGCAGAAATCCGGGTTTCTTAATCTTATCATGATTTTTCTATCAGTTTAACGTCATGTAGCTGTACTTTGATGACTTTGACAAGTGCAAAATTAGGTAGATTAGAGCCTTGTATATACTAAATAGTGATCTGGAATCAGAATCATTTGTAAATCCTAAATCCTAAGTTTCCATGTACATTATATTTGGTTTTTAGTTGTAAATTTGTATACAAAACCATTCTTCTTCAGAGTTTTTGTTTTTTGCATCTACAATATCCATAAATTTATCTAATTTTTAAATGACTAAATAGGTAATATAATAAAAGTACACTGATTAGTTAGTTTAACCATGATATGATTATGAGCGGCTTCAAATATGAATGAATGCCCATTTCATTCTTTTGCAATTGCACTTGTTAATCTTTTCCAAAGTAACAACTAGATGGGTTTTTGTCATAAAAGCCCTCAATTTTACATGAAATGGTCGATTATGCCCAAAGTCGGATTTTTGTGCGATAATGCCTCAAAAACGTAAAGGGGCTGAGTCAGCGATGCTTCTTTGGAGGGAAAAACGCAACGAATAAACGAAATGGGGGCAGGAGGGATCGAACCTAGGTCTCCCAATCCATAAGGGAGAGCAACTTCCACTAATCTTGATGATTTCATCTTGCTTGTGTATCTTTTAAGTTTTAATGGTTTCATATTCTTTGTGGATCTTTTAACTTTTAGGAAGGTTTCATATTCTTTGTGGATCTTTTAACTTTTCGTTCCTAATAACAGACAGTTGATTAATAATTAGTTTTCAAATATAAAATGGTAATAACATTTGGGTCCTTCAAATCTGCAAAAGCTATGAATAGAGAATAAATAAAAAGTTGATGGAAATCGAATTTGAATGAAAGTTAAAAATATAAATTATAGCTTTGTGGTGCTTGTTTTTCTCCTTGTTTCTGTGACATTTGAGTTTCTGTAATGTTTATTTTTTTAGTTAATGAGTTCTACAGATAGATTTAATCTAGATGGATATACATAGATTTTTCTTTATTAGTCAATGAGTTATACATTTAATGGAAGAATAGATGTTTCTTTTATAGTCAATGAGTTAAACCCTTAACATGGACAGTTATACATCATTTTTTCTTCTTTTTTCTACCTATTGGATTAAGCAAAAAAAAAACTAGCTTAACGTTTTATAAACCATTTACCTATCTGTTCTTTTATTTTATTTTTTCCTTCCAACTTCTCCCGCATTAAAATTGATAAATATTGTCAAAGATGTTGAATATTATAAAATTTGTTTAATGCAAAAATAGCCTGGTCATTTAATCTAATTTATTAAAAAAAATTAAAATATAAAATTATATATAACACTTTATCCATAAACTGATAAAAGTACCATTACTCATTCAAATCATTATTCTTAATAATGGCTTCTAGTATAAGTGACATTTGAGTTTCTATCAAGATTTGCTTCTAGTAATAAGTTCATATGTTGAACACAAATAGATGCAAATATATGTTGAATAGAATAATGAAGTCAAATGACTCTGCAGTGTAGTTGACATCAACTATATAGCCCAGTCTACCATGACAATGGCATTCAGGTCTTTTATATAGACAAAAGAACAATAACAAATCCTCATTCCATGTTTCTTGGTTGGACAAAAAATTACAGTTTTTGTCACATTGACATTATTCGTTACTCCAATGCACACCACACATAGTAATCTATTGTGTGTCCAATCATGTCAAAGGTTAAAAAGTTATGTCATATTACTTTAAACCCTATTTGATCTATTACAGTATTACTTCATTATATAATCAAAATATCTCAACCACTAAATACCATTGAAAATTATTGTAACTTCAGGCAGTAAAAGGCTAGAAGCACATCAAATGATCATATACTACCTCTAGTAAAACATTTTATTAAAACTAATTATCTCATTATAATTGTTAAGTATCGCATAATCACTTTCAAAACACAACTCCAAACACCCTATTGTTTATGCTAGCAATATTGAATTAACATAATCTTGTTCTTTGTTCTATAAGAAGTCTTTGAAAGTGAGTAACACATATCTAATGAATTCACAGATCTTCACAAGTAAAGGTGAAAACATGATGAGAAATAAACAAGGATGACTAATCAACTTTTCTTTTTCTTTTTTTTTTTTTTTGATAAGCTGCACATACCACACAACAAGATGGCCGACTCAAATAGCATATGGAGGTGCTCTGGAAGCCATTGTTGTAACTTGAGCTTGCATCTGAGCAGCCCTGACTTTTGCAGCCATTGCACGATGGAAGAACTGTTCTCTAGATAGTAATCTTACATTCCTCATATACAGATCAAATGGTATTGACCCTTCTTGAACAGCTTTATCCAATGCATAAACTACATCTTCTATAGCAAGATCAGATGAAGTTGACTCAAGCATCTGTTTTGATAAAGGATCTGATGGCTCAAAAGCTTCATCGCCATTAAGATTTGTTGTATTTCCTCCCAATTTCCCTTCATTCTCTCTCACCCACCCTTCTAACACGTCTGTATTCATCAAAACCATCTGTAACTGCTGCTCTAAAGCTTCCTTTTCGTATTGCATCTCTCTTAAACCTTTCAAAACCTCTTCTTCTCTCTGCCTCAACACCGCTTGAGCAGTAAACATCCCTTCCATTTCAACCTCCCTCTTCTTCCTCAACGCTTCAACATCAACATGAACAGTTTCCACCAATTTATTGATGGCATTCCGCTTGAAAACCTCGCCTGGATCCTCCGTTGTTGATCCTAACCGCTGTGGGGGAGACGGTGACGGAATTCTTCCACTGCCGGAGGCACTCCCATACGGTGACGGCGGATAAGACCTTGGTGGAATCGCTGGCCGTATAGAACCCGCTGAAATCGAACCAGAAGGCGATGCATTTGAAGATACAGATGGATTGTAATTAGGGTTTGGAGTAGGGTTTGTAGGGTTTGGTCGTCGTTGAGAGTATAAAGGGGGGTCGCTACCAAAATAATGACTCAAATTACGAGTTAATTCAACCAGATTAGAGCTTGGATAAACCCAATTTTGTAGGTAAGGGATGGAAACCAATCCCGATGGATTAACAAAAGAGTGTTGGGCTTTGATGATCATATCACGCGTGGGGTTCACGAAGACGAAAGGCGGATGACGAGGGTAAGTCTCCATGAGCCAGATCACGACGGGGATATTGTAGGTGATGTTCTGAAACACCATCGGAACTGTGCCTTCGGACTGGAGGAGGTTGACGGAGCGTCCGTCGTTGTGGGTGAAGATTGCGGTTTTGGGCTGGAGAGAGGGATAGGTTTCGGAGAGAGAGATGAGATGCTGACGGATGAGCCATTTGACATCTTCGGAGTAGGGAAGGGACGAAGGGCCGCGCTGGGAGAGGACAGAACTGAGGAATTGTTGGGTGTATTGAGCGGTGGAAGACGACGGAGACGGCGGCGGGTGTGCCATTTGATTGGAGAGACCGAGCGTTTGGATGTTTTGACTTTTGAGAGGAGACTTCTAGCTAGCACTAAATCAGATCATTTTTCTGTAAAAATCTCACAAAACCATTTACAATTCGAACGATACATTAAATCGATAAAATGAACCTTTATAAATTAGTTTTTGTTTTAAGACAAAATTGCAAAAATGTCGCTTTCCTATGTATTTTTTTCAAGGTTTTAGTAAAAACTTGATTTTTTTTTGATTTTGTAGTTCTTTCAAGCTAATTTCCTTAGACTTTTTGTCCTTTCAAATACTGAAATGATTGTAATGCCTTTAGGTATTTATTTTCCATTTTTCTTTAATTTCCTTTTAAATATAATACTAATTTATTTATTTTAATAATCAAAAGAATAAGAAAGGATTCACATCCTTTCTCTCTCTCTCTCTCTCCACAGCCAAAAGAAATTTGGCCTCAAATCAGAAATACATTCCTCTCATCCCTCTTCTCGACGGAAACCCATACACATAAAAAGCCGACAACATTCAACGCCTCCCAACTTCGCCACCATCACCTTCGTTTATACAGCTGGAGATGGAGGGGGGTCTGCATCTAATTCAACTCAGTGATGACAAATCCACCCATGACCTGTGCTTCTCCATCTACCTTATGCTCCCTACGCTACTCCCTCAAAATCCAATGGTGACTATAGACCAAGAAGCAAGTTTCTGACATCGAAAACTTTAGACCCAGATATGTGGAAATCGAATTATGATATGCATTTCAATGGCATGATAAAAATTCTGATTTTGTTTCGATTTGATGGAGTTGAAGTTCGGTTTGGCTGAATGAGATTAGAAAGAAGATGAAGATGATTGACTAATGTTTCAATCAGTGGATGGTTATACTACTTTGATTTTTGTGATGATCGTTCCTTATTTGTATTGATAATGTTTTGTATTGATAATGTTTTGAGCGAAATTGGATTCCATATGCTTTGATTTTGTTCCATCTCGTATCTGATTCGATGGGGAGATATTGGATCAAAGTCTTCTCAACTTTTAAGCTTTGAACACAATCTTGGTGTTAGAAATATGGTTTAGTGGTACTTGTAAATCTGAGAATCGTGATAATCACTTTCAAATCGAAGTATTTGGGTGGTACTCCCAAATCCTCAATTGGATAAGACTCAGATAAAATCAGAGAGAAAAGAAAAAGAAAATGAGATGGTGTAATTTCGTGAGTACCAGAAAAAGTGACTAAAATTGGTTATAAACCTTCCTTATCTGAAAAACTGTCAAAACTATCATATAATAGTTTTTCTCAACAGTAAAAACTGTTATAAATCCAGGTTTTATATAAGGATTATTACAAAGTCAAAATCGGGTCAAATATTCAAATTTTGAATTTTTTGATGCATTTTTAATACAACAATATAACCCACATAAAATTTTCCCGCACTAACCTAGCAGCTCGACCCCAGCCAGGGGCTCTGCCCCTTGGACCCTGCTCCCAGGGGCGTTGCCCCCGAACCCCCGTTCGTTCAGGGGCTTCGCCCCTAAATGACAATATACTTTAATACTTGATCAAACTTAAACAAGTGTGTACTCCACACCTTCCTTACTTGTTTAATAGTTATCAAGATCATTTTTAGTCAACAAAGTAATCCTATTACACTTAAATAGCATTGATGATAACAAATCACCAACAAACCTCCCCTATTTAAGTGTAATCTTGATTAACTTAAAATGAAACATAACACCAACAAAACTGATGCATAAATGAAATATCGTGA